ATATTACAAAAAAATCTATTTAATATATATGCTGTCCTTTTGAACTTTATATTCATCAAAAGGCCTTGAAATAATGTATCAATGTATCTACATCGAAAATAAGAAGAAATGTTTCTTAAACAGCAAATCAGCATATTAGAATGATTTCTAAAGGATCATCTGACACTGAAGACTGGAGTAATGGATGCTGAAAATTCAGCTTTGCTATCACAGGAATAAATTACACTTTAAAATATATTAAAATAAACACCAGTTATTTTAATTTGCAATAATACTTCACAATATTACTGTTTTAGTGTAGTTTTATCAAATAAAAGCAAGAGACTTCATTCAAAAACATTTCAAATATCTTAACAACCCCAAACATTTGAGCAGGATTATATTAGATATATAGATATTTGGATAAAACCAAAAATGGCTTAGAAAAGTTGAATAATTTGTTTGCAGATGCAATCTGATTTTATATTTTGCATGCAATGCAAAGAAATGTATACATATAAAGAATGTCTGAATACTTACTAGCATTGTATATTATATTTATGTGGACTTGAGAAATATATGTATCTGGTTCTTGTAGAGCCCTTGTAGAGCATTTGGTGGGAACCCAGCTGCCAGACGGACCCTGTACAGTGAGATACAAGCATAGATAGAGCGCTCATGTTCAGAGGGCTGTGCTACTGCTTTAGAGCTTTGTTGACAGTCTTGACATAAGAGTTGCAGAGATCAACCGCATATCCTGAGCTGAGCTTCAGAGGTTTGAAGCATCATGCTGAATGTTAAACTGTGACCTGGACACAGGCAAATACTATATCCCTCTAAAGAAAACAAGAAAATCATACAACGCACGCGAAAGGTAATTTAGGATATTAACTTTTATATATATTTCAGTTTTGTTGGGTTCAGCGTGTCATGTAATATTCCCATATAAACTTTAACATCCAATTAAAAAATATTTGTCTAGTAAAATTAGCTAATTCTCGAGATCAATACATCCTTTATTAGACCGCTTTGTCGAGTTAAATGCATCCTTATGCATCCAGGTGTCGAAATGCTGAAACAATTCATTACCTTCCAACAGCACTTAATGAGAGCAGCGTCATAGAGGGCAGAGCGTCACGTTATTTAAAGGGGACGTTAACGCGTTAACCAGTAGCAAATGATTAAGTAGCTGCATTGGTTACTTTTATGCCACTAAAGCTTTTATATGTAGTTTGGGGTAACAAAGGGGTTTTATAGGTTTGACTGAAATAATAATGCAATAACTGACACTTTAAATCAATGTTTCAAGAAACAACAAGAAGAAAATTTAACACAAAACAGACAAAAAAGTAGCCATTGATAATATCTAAACAATATGTAGTAGTATAGTATATAGTATCCAAATCAAAATTTAATTAAATTAATTTAGGTGTAAATTATATCAAGCATCTTTAATTTGCAAGGCAAATAGAATGTTTACATGAATTCAATATGAAGATGTACTTGATTGAATTAATCATTGGTATTGTAAACATTTGGAAGAAGAAAACCCTTTGTGCTACTTTGCAATGTGTATTTCAATAAAGAACATGTTTTGCTGCAGAAGTTTCCTTTATATTTCAATTGACTTAACAACCATGTGACTGATTTTGTTAAGCAGGCATCATCTTTTGTTGGTCATGGTCCATGGAACAGCATTCCTGTCAAACAAACATAGCCTAACCTTGAAATCTGATTGGATAGGATCGTTTTTCCAGGACCATCTAGGATGTTGGATCCAGGAGCATGGCCTACTTTGCGAAATCAAAGACTCTTCAAGCGCAACATTCCAGAGATGTTTAGCAGAAGGCCAATGATCAACATGGATACTAGACTCGAAAGTGGTGTGATGTAACAAAATGAAACATTAACATTCCTGTTCCTTCATACAATGTCATTTAATATCCATTGACACAAATACTAATACACAAAAAACACACTTTTTGCATCTCTGAAATGATCATTGTCCTGTGAATCCTTTATAAGGATGTTGGATCCAGGAGCATGGCCTACTTTGCGAAATCAAAGACTCCTCAAGCGCAACATTCCAGAGATGTTTAGCAGAAGGCCAATGATAAACATGGATACTAGACTCGAAAGTGGTGTGATGTAACAAAATGAAACATTAACATTCCTGTTCCTTCATACAATGTCATTTAATATCCATTGACACAAATACTAATACACAAAAAACACTTTTTGCATCTCTGAAATGATCATTGTCCTGTGAATCCTTTATCTTTTTACACAGAAACTTCCCTTGTCCTATGAAGAGGGTCATATGTATGATGATATGACATGTGATTTAACCCTATAGTTAGATTATAATGAGGTAAACTGGTTAAACAACTCACCTTGTTTAAATGACTAGACATTATTAATGACAGACGTAAGACATAAAAAAATTATATAATATACATAATATGCATTTAGTCACATAATTGAGCTTTCATAGATTTTAAACATTACATTATGTAAAGATCTGAACACTAAATAATAATGATAATAATGATAATAATAATATAAAAGGAGCTTATGTTTGCAGGTCTTAAAAGCTGGTTTTGTGGCCATTAATATTGTGACATATTATTACAATTTAAATAATAATTCATAATGAAATGTTGGTGACCAGCAAACCAGTTTAGACTCTTTCTTTCAGCAGGGTTCCTATTTCCTTTTATTATAGGCTATTAATAGGTTTCCTTTTCCCCTTTTATTTTAGGCTATTAATATGCACCCATAAACAATATCTCACCCAAGGTGTTTATTCGAATTTATATGCTTTAAATCAACTCACCACACTATTCAACTCGTGCTGTGTCCTTTCGAGTCTGACAGACATCATTTCGAGAAGTCTCTGCTTTGCCCTGCACCACATTTACTAAAAACAACCTGCTGAACGTGTCACAGCGACGCAACATCCAGCAGGCGAAATCTCTGACGTAACTTCGCCGATTTGCATATTCGCTTTTAGGAGAACGCTATTGGTCCCTGGATCCCCCCGCGCTCGGCGCGCCGTATGTCATCAGTGGGTTGAGAGCATAGACTGTATGGTTGAGAGCAAACATCGTTTGAATGCCGGGAGGCGGTCATTGGTGAATCAAGCTGTGTGCAGTAACGTTAGGAGATTAGTGAATCGCAGCTGGAATGCGAGCTTGATTCACAAAGGCAAGAGAGGGAGACAAAGCCACCGCGCAGAAGATACGCACACCAGACTGCCACATCCCGCACAGGTACCGAAAAACCGACTTACTCCATTAGATCATCCTGCATCCGTACAGAAGAGCTTTGTCAGGTGTTGCTGCTTTTATTATTTCATAGAAGAGGAGAGAGAGAGTCAAATGAATGCAGAAATGATTTCATAGTCTATATACCATATTATTCTATATATAGTAGCCTATATATTATACAGTACATAATATAGTATTTAATATGTTCTGCATTGCTTTGACCCTGTATGCATGCCACTTTTAAACAAATCACTTTTACACAAGAGTTTATGGGGACTCAGAACTTGGAAAGTCTGTATTGGTAGTCAGATGTGCTATAATAACCATCCGCACCAGACTAAAAAGAGTAAGAAAGTCATTTGATGACAGCAATTGAATTTGTAATAGTAGCCTAGTTTCTGAAGTGCATTCCTTGACCTTGACAGCCGCTGCCAGTAGTGTGCTGTATTGACAGTTGCTCAGACAGGTTGATGTGGCATGTTTACCATAAGGGTTTATCATATTATAGTCATCAGATTGAGAGAAATTACGAATATAAACCCTTATAGCAAAGAGAAGGGAAGTGAATGTCAGGTGATGACGACAGAGGGACCGCTCCTCCAGTGATGACTCAAAGGGGGATGCAGCAAACAGGTTGCAGTAGACTGTGATTGACGCTTACCCTTTTCATTTTGCCCTTGATGCACCGAAAGAGTAAAATGCAATATATATTATGTAATACAAAATAATTCATTTAAATAGCCCTTATTTGTACCCAACAGCATCTAAAAACGTTTGCTTATAACAAATAAGGTCATGTACACTGTAATATAAACTGTAAGCGCATTTCCATTGTAAATCATTTTTAAAAGCAATACATTTAATTACTGTTTTTTTAGCCTTCATGATCTATTTGGGTCTCAGAGTCCCCATGGCCATTTTAATCAAAATAAAAAGTTACAAATAAAAGTTTAGTAAAACAACATTTTCTGATTAGCGTACACACTAGCAGCCAGTTTATAGCAGTCTGTTTATATTTGCATTTTTCAAGAATGTAATTTTTGCTGGGGCTCAGGTTGATCCCATACAGAATATAACAGTCATATTTCTAAAAACAACATGTCAGTTTTGCCAAAATAATATTTGTCAAATGTGTTTTAATTCGGCCATAAATACATAAAAAAGAATTTGATGGGGAATATATATTATTTGACAGGAATAATATGTTAATAAGAGATATATCACCCACTGCTCCGGGTGTGTGTTCACAGTGTGTGTGTGTTCACTGCTGTGTGTGTGCACTTAGGATGGGATAAATGCAGAGCACTAATTCCTAGTATGGGTCACCATACTTGGCCACATGTCATGTCACGTCACTTTCACTTATATATATGATACACACACACACACACACACACACACACACATAAAAAAAATACATAAAACAAAAAATCATATATATATATATATATGCACACACACATATAAAAATAATACAAATAAAAATACATAAAACAAAAAATCATATATATATATATATATGCACACACACATATAAAAATAATACAAATAAAAATACATAAAACAAAAAATCATGTATATATGTGTATATATATATATATATATATATATATATATACACACATACATTTGGGTCAAAGTAAAGTTAGAATCAACAGAATATGAGGTGTGTGTGTGTTCACTGCTGTGTGTGTGCACTTAGGATGGGATAAATGCAGAGCACTAATTCCTAGTATGGGTCACCATACTTGGCCACATGTCATGTCACGTCACTTTCACTTATATATATGATACACACACACACACACACACACACACACACATAAAAAAAATACATAAAACAAAAAATCATATATATATATATATATGCACACACACATATAAAAATAATACAAATAAAAATACATAAAACAAAAAATCATGTATATATGTGTATATATATATATATATATATATATATATATACACACATACATTTGGGTCAAAGTAAAGTTAGAATCAACAGAATATGAGGCTATTTTTTCTAGTAGTTTTCTAGTTTTCCCTATTTTATATAAAAAAAATAATAATAATGTCGATTAACAATATTTAAGATTGCTTATACCATTAACTGAATTTGTTTGTGTTTACAGTTACTGTTTACACACACTGTCACACTTTAGTTTGTATAGCTACAAAGACGATCTGGTGAATGGTATTGATTATTGTTTTAGTGAATTAGGAGGATCTATATATTTCCCTTGTTTAGTGACCTTGGTCATGCAAACATGTCAATGGCCTCTATAGCTTCAGATAATCAGTATGCTTTTTGGCTCTGACCATTTCTAAAATGAAAGGCACTGTAAATCTCTGTAAATAAAGCTGAGCACTTATAGCATGTCTATGCTCATGTATAGTTTATGCACATCATTATCTCATAACAGGGTCATTGTGTTATTTTAAATTAAATGGATCCCTGTCTGGAAGTCTTCATTTTAATCAAGTGCCTCACAATCTCTGCATTTCATTAGTCCTCATTCTATTTTTAGCCACGTTTACACAGGGCAAGACTGAACCAGACAGCTCCAGCCTCTATCTATAGCCTTGAGTGAAAGTGAGAGCATGCGTGTGTGTGTGTTGGAGAGCGTGTACTGTATGTGTGGCTGGTGATGGGCTATTGATTCCAAAATAGCTGAGGGAGATTTAATGGTGCATATGACACTGGCGACAGTGCTAGCTTTGCCCACGGACCAAGCTTGTCAGGGTGGATCATGGGAAGAAAGGGCAGGTGGAAAAGCTTTATGGAAATGGGTGCAAGCTGTTCCCCACTTGCCATTGTTGTTTGTGTGGGCTGACAAGAGACTGGCTCTGCTTTAAGCCCATAACCTAATCTTTTGGTGGAGCATTAGTTACCAGAGCCAGGGGTTAACATCTGCTCGGTGGGGTTCTGGGAGGTAACTGTTTCAGTTCTGTTTCACCTGTCATGAGGACAAGCTTTTGCCCTGTTTCCTGTCTGGGTGTATAGTGAAAGTACTCTAAACAGCTCTTGCTCTGACCTCTCATAAGGTCATAAATGTCTTGTTTGTGATATGTGTTATATATATATATATACACTGTATATATATATATATATATATATATATATATATATATACACACACACACACACACACACACACACACACACACACACACACACACACACACATAAACATGTACTAGAGTATACATGTATACTATTATATACTATTGACTGTATTTGTTTGTGTTTATTGTTACTGTATTCATCATTTGGTTTGTATAACTACAAAGAGGATCTGGTGAATCATATTCATTATTCTTTTAGTGAATTAGAATAGTTTCCTATGTTCCTGTTTCCCATGCTGTGTGGGTGTACGACATAAAAAAAACCTCAATTTAATCTTCATATATAGGCTAAAGCAATTGTATCTCTTCACAAGACTTGAACTAAAGCACTTGATTCATATGGATTCGTTTTATGATGTCTTTATGGCTTTTTTGAATATTCAAAATTTTGCTTACATGGATATTCAATGGAGCAACAGAAACCTCTTAAGTTTCATTAAAAAATGCCTTAATTTGCGTTTAAAAGATTAACCAAAGTCTAATGGGTTTGGAACGACATGAGGGTGAGTACATTTTTACATTTTTGGGTGAACTATCCCATTAAATGCTGTTAAAGGAATTGTTCACCCAAAAATGAATATCTGGCCATTTTTAACCATGATGTTTGTTTGATTATCAATCAATAATGGCTTACAGTATACTTTAGTCTGAAGTTGTCTTGTGGCTTCATAAAATTTAAAATATAGTGCACAATGTCATATGGAAATACATTTTTGATACTTAACATTGCTCTTTTTTTGGAGCATTTTTGGAGCTCGACAAACAATTATGATTGTCAACTGCAAAAGTGTACAATGTAGCCTAGAAGCAATTGCTGATATTAGAAAATATCTCCACTTTTTATGTTGTTTACCATTTACAGCCATGAAGGGAGAGCATTTATTTGCCAACATGAGAAGCGCTCCATTCGTCCAGCGGGTTTACCTCCTAGGAGGGGAAGAGCTGGTAGTCCTGCAGTCCACCATGGGAGAGTCCTCACTGGGAGACAGTTTCCAACAAATCACCGATTTCAATGATCTCCCCACGTCCCTCTTCGCCTGCAACGTGGACCAATCAGTATTTGAAGACCATGAGGGCAAGGTAAGGTTAAATAAAATGTGTTGGAAGTTCAGCGCCACTAGTGGCACCAAATGAAATCGCAAAATTATGATTGTTTCCAAACAGGATTATAAAAACATTTCAACCACTCTTTCTTCCAGTATTCAGCTTACAAATTCACATCATTGGTTAAGTTCAAGAGTTAAAAAGCAAGAAAAGAAATGAGAAGAACATTAAAATAAACTATATTTTCCCTTTAAGAGAGTTTTAAATTATTTTTAGCACAGTAAATACATCATGGACACATAGGAACAAAAGCAGTTTGATTGGTTGGTATGCTGGAATGCTCTAGTGGAAAAGCAGTTCCCTAGACCTGCATTACATGATTGTGAATTAGGCCTCTCCAACCCAATTATCCATGAAGGCCACTCCAAGTGTGAAATTCAGCTTGTGGGCTCTCATCGACACTGCTTTCTCCTCATTTGCAAACACTCTAAAAAGTGAGTTTACACCTAGAGGCAAGGGAGTATCTTTCACTTCCTTCACGTGAAGGCCTATTTGTGGTTTTGTGACTGGTTTTATTTGCTTATGACGACCTATGGCAACATATTGACAAAATTCAGATGAAGCCCCTGAAATACTATATTTATTCCCATAGGTTCAGTTCAGCATCTTACTTTGACACACAGACACATGATTAATAATATGATCTAAGGAGAAGCTGTTATAGTAGTTTTCATGAGCTGCTTTTGGCTTTAGCAACTTGGTGATAAAACACGGGGAAAAAATGTAAAACAACAAAAAAAATAAAATTCACTCTCTTGTCTTTCCAAACCCATATGATTTTCTTTTGTTAAACACAAAATTAACGCTTTAAATTTTTTTTAAAGAACACTTTTCCATGCAATAAAAATAAAATGAGACTGGGTCTAAAAATATTACCATTACCAAAGTAGTCAGTTTGTGTGCTATATTTTGTTGTTTGAGAGCAAGAGAAAAGAGAAGTGTTAGCATTCTGACTAACATCTCATTTTGTGTTTCATGTCAGAAGATAAATGTGTTAAAATAATATGATAGGATGACAGAATTTTCCTTTTTTGGTGAACTGTTCCTTTAAAGTGTTATCCCTCAAGCATTTAGCTAGTCTTTAATGTGGCGATATACCAGAAGTCGTGACAGATCATTTCTTCCATATTGTGATGTGCATCTGAGTGAAATGGATTGTTGGGAAAAAAAAAGTTGGGCGGGGACTTGGTTCTACCGACAGTGTTGGGGAAAGTTACTTTTAAAAGTAATGCATTACAATATTGCGTTACTCCCTAAAAAAAGTAACTAATTACGTTACTTAGTTACTTTTTATGGAAAGTAATGCGTTATATTACTTTTGCGTTACTTTCGCGTTACTTTTTAAATATAAGCAGGGCTTGATTGTTTTTAATATAAGAAGTTCTATTTATAGCAAATATAAAAGCCCTTTCACACCAAAAAGTGTAATGAATAAACCTCAGGCTGAAGCAAAAGTAAATTCACGTCTGTACAGTAGAACGCAGGAGAAGAAACACTCTTCAGCAATAAAAAAAACAAAGCACAATTGTTAGTTTATCTAAAGTCATTTTTGCCTATTAGTATGGTTGAACTGGATCATCAAAGGTCAGCAGCAAAGACATTGGTTAATAAAATGGGATTAGATACATTTGTGTTAATTAACATATTTAATTATTGCAGGTTTGCGTCATATTCTAAGTTTGCATTCTGAGTTTTAATTCATTTTGATGAATACTAAATCAGTTTTTTGTGAGTGGGATGAATTAATGCACATTCACATTTAGTCTAGAACTACAGTAACATCATGTTCACACAGCGCACACAACTCCTCTGCACTAACGATTTCTCCCAGTATGGGGACAGGAGACTTGTCAGTCAATAAATGGGGAAACAAAGTAACTGGCATTACTTTTTTGAAAAAGTAACTCAGATATTTTCTTGTAAATTAAAAAGTAATGCGTTACTTTACTAGTTACTTGAAAAAAGTAATCTGATTGCGTAACTCACATTACTTGTAATGAGTTACCCCAACACTGTCTACCGATCGGTTGTTGATTGGATGAAGGCAGATCTGAATGCAAGCCTTGAGTCGATTATTAGAAAGGGGTGGAATTTATGCAGACTAAATGATTGGAGGAGTCCGGAATACGTCACTAGATAGAAGGCTGATGTTTCACCAGAAGATCACATAAAAAAAATTCAAATAAATAAATAAATAAAACATATCCATAAATGAATTATTGACACTAATATCATTAAGATGCATTTAGAAAGTAATTTCCTGCTGACTTGAAGCTTTTTTTATGTCTCCTGAAAGTTACATCACTTGGAACAGGAAACGTAGCATATTTGACCTCCAGCTGAATATTTAGCCCAGACCTTCTTCGAATAGTTTTAAGAACACCGATCATGTGATATGCTGAGCACTGCCAGGTCTGTCTGCCCCTCTGACCTGCACTGGACTGCATCACACACACAGAAAAAAAGAAATCTGAACACATAGGCACATACACAGTTCTTACACTGATCCGTCCTGACAGCTACTCTCAGACAGACTAGATCATCTGATAGAAGGGCTGTGTAAAAGGTGGCCCATGACTCGCTCCATTGAGTCTCAGGCTCCAGAAGGGTTTTTCGTGAAACAGAACAAGTGCTCAGTCTTTTACTCATGAATGACTCCACCAATGCGAACACGCACACAGTAATTCTTGAAAAGTATCCTCTTGCTTCACATTAACTTGAACCTGACTTGGCATGACTCATGCGGTTAATTTCCTTACGTAACAAGTAACAGTGTTGAAAGTTATTGTTTTTAAGGTGAATTCAGTGATCCATAATGAGAGACTTTGTTGTACCACACTGTTTGTTTGGTTTGGGGCAAGGTTGTGTGGCTTCAGTGCTTTTGCTAAAAGTTAGGTTACACTGCAGCCCGAATAAAGTTTCAGTAACACTATGACACTGTGGGTGTCATGCAGCTTTTTATTTTGATGATGTACCAGTCCTGGTCCTAATTAAATATGAATTAAGTATCAAAACAGTTTAGCAAACAAAGCATTGCGTGTCACCCGGCAACACAAAATAGTGCCATTTCTGAATATATTAGTGTTTTTGAATGAACTGGCTGAATTAATGATTCAATGACTTACTCTTAAAGACTAGTCACTTGTATCATTCCTGAATGAATTAATGCTTTGAGTAAATGACTCCCTCATATAAACAGCCATCTACTGGCGTATTGATGTAACCCGCAGAAAGAGTCATAAAACAAAAAACATCAACTGTTGTATAAATGAAGATTTATTGAATATTATGTATATTTTCTGCACCAGCATTATTTTCTTTTGAACTATTCAGGTATTTATTAAAAAAAATTGTCAAATAATACGGCAGTCCACAAATGTAGGACAACAGTTTTGCTGTGAGTCAAATAAATGTAGTATTTTGTGTTTGAGCAAAGCTGTGAGAACAGTTATTTAGCCACATAGCAAGAATTCAAAGAATAACTCATTACTTTGTGATAATCAACTAAAAGCTGAATCGCAGTGTCTATTACAGAACAAACTCCCTATCATAAAGCAGGGAACATATGCTTAATTAGGCAGCTAATTGTGCTGATAATACTGCTCTGAATATTTGACTATTTCCCCTACAAATGCCATGAAATATTAACTGATTAACAGAGCATGATTGCATCTCCTGTACTGGCCAACTTGCATTAATGGCTTTTTGCTGACCTGTTTACTCTTGATAAAGATCTTTTCTCCTTCCTCTTGAATTGATTACAGAGCACATGGTCGTGGGATGCAGAAGCTGTCTGATAGTTACTCAACTGATTGCCATTTAATGAATCGGTCTCTGATTGGAACAGGACAGTTTTACACTAATGGGTGTAATGGGACTCACTGGCCCATTTATGTATAAGTTATGTTGATGGAGCCACGAAGTCTGGTAATGCTACAGTATAGTCAGTCGCTATAACCTACACTGCACTTTAGCTTGAATTATTATAATTTTTTATTATAAAGTGGGCATGTAATGTAAAAATAAATCAAAGTATTTGATACTTAGTATTTGAACTATACTCTGATTCCATGTGAACAACTAGTCATTAACTAATCTCTCCCAAGCTTACTTTATATAGAAGTACACATCACATTAACAGTTTCCAGTTCATTTAGAATTGGACATAACCAAGAAATGACTAGCGGTTCAGTGAAGGAATCATTTGAACTCTAAATGACTCACTCATTATAAGAGTGTGATTCAAACTGCTTCCTCAGTAGTGAATCTTTTTGACTGAGTCGTTAAAAAGAATTGTGTCCTCAAATGAAAGTAGACAAATCTCAAGCTTTCTCAACTGTTGCCAATTTGAAATGATTGAGGCACCTTTTTTTTGTCACATTTGCGACCATTTTAGTCCCAGTCTGGAGACAAAAATGTAACATGATCTTTAACTGGTTTGATAAACAAATAGTCTGTATTGATATCATATATACATTTAACATTTAATATGTTCTGTATTGAGTTAATGGGATTCTTCTGAATAAATGGATGAATCAGCATATAAAATACAAAAAAGTATGCCCTAATATGGGTGGGATATATAAAAGGTTTATATATGTGACTCTGGACCACAAAACCATAAGGGTACATTTTTCGAAATTGAGATTTATACATCATCTGAAAGCTAAATAAATAAATAAGCTTTCCGTTGATGTATGGTTTGTTAGGAAAGGACAATATTTGGCCGAGATACAACTATTTGAAAATCTGGAATCTGAGAGTGCAAAAAAATTCAAATATTGAGAAAATGTCCTTTAAAGTTGTCCAAATGAAGTTCTTAGCAATGCATATTACTAATCAAAAAGTTTTAATATATTTACAGTAGGACATTTACAAAATATCTTCATGGAACATGATCTTTACTTAATATCCTAATGATTTTTGGTATAAAAGAAAAATCAATAATTTTGCCCCATACAATGTATTTTTGGCTA